ATTATGGCAGCTCATCTTTTCCTTTTTTAATCTTTAAATATTAATAAAAATCATTTCACCTTTCTGGGGTCAGGATCTTTCTAAAGACAGAACAATATTACAAGTGAACATTACCTTCTACAGTCCAAACAACACATTTTGTCAGGAGTGAGAATAACTAGTCATTGTCACATAAACAGGTTATCATACCAATAAGCATCACTAGAATCAAGATAAACTGAAAAATTAGACTACAATTTTAAAAAAAGATGCTATTCTATTCTAAACTGGTTGAAGGAAAAAAAGTATCACAAAACGCACAAACCGCATAGAAAATCGTCAATCTTTCTTTTTTTACATTTTTTTTACTAATATTTTCTGGATGTTCTATTCTATCACACCTTAAAATAATTTTGAAAATATAATCTATAAAATCGCCCCCAAAAAGTACAAAGTACAGAAACGATCTACCGGTATATCAATGCAGCACCGTAATTTGCTTTGAAATTTCAGATCTAGGTATTCATGAAGTGATGCAGGATCTTGTTTACAAAAATTAACAGTTCTTACAATCAATCTATTGTAAGAGATACCATGTGGGGATATCAGTTCTTAAACAAAAACTGTAACCATTGAAAGAAAGTAGTAAATGTAAGGGATTAATAATTGATAAATGTCGTAAGGTGATGATTTATCTCTCATTGACATCCACCTGCTTTTTGTTATGTTAAAGGGTACTGATCAGTCTACTGGTATATTTCTTTTGATCTGTATCTTCAGGGTTTCGTATTGATATCCTAAATTCAATTATCGATTAAAACAAAAAAAAATTCTGTAATTAAAGGAAAAAGTAACACGCCATTGGACTGTTCAATAAATTTGTGTTTAATGTGATGCGCAGGGAAGATCCTATATTTCTATACAGAGGGGGGGGGGGGGGGGGGGTGTTTTTAAGGATTTTAACTGTACATAAATCAAGATTTTAGTTGTTGTTCCTTTTTAAATACACAGCATGAAAGACAGAAAAATTACAGAGGTTATATATAGTTCACAGCCCCATATTCATCGCAGGTACATGTAATTCGTACTGGTATTATGGAAAATATCGTTTACAAAAGTGCAATTATACCTATGCATTAAATTACCAACAGGTTCACCTTGTATTGTAATTGGAAGCAATAACTAGACCGCAATTTGCATTAGTTTTGCATTGCCACACAATGAACAGGCTGTTCACTAGGCCAGGCATTGCATTACTGAAATGCAATATTAAACTAGTATACACAATGCATGCACTTGCAATATAGTCTTTTTTCCTTCCGATTCCCCATTGAGCCATTGGCTCTAGGTTAATCATGAAAAACCAGTGAATTTTCAATATGTATACACTGGCGTACAATAAAAATGGAAGGGAACCATAAATAACACAAAACAAAGACGAGAGGCAATGATTCGATCAGCTAATTAGCATGGATGTTTTTCATATCTGCGCAATTTAAGGGCTAAGCCTATATCCCCGGCCTGGAGATTGTGTGAGAGAATTATTCGTCATCTCCACAATGGCGTGCAAGGGCAGTGAGGGACGAAAATGGAAATTACATAGGGGAAAGTACAGTGACCTGGTTCACCTCGCCCCGTTGAGATGCATGCTGGTAGAGGCATGGCAGTGCTTGGACACTAGAGGACAGCATGCTGCTTACACAGTTGGCTTGCTTCAATGTTCATGTGAATCATCAATATTTAAAACCAAACAAAGTTCCATTATGCAAAAAGGCAATAGAATTAATCATTCTTTTGTCATGGATGACCATTAGTAGGAATAGAAATTAATCAAATAATGTCTTGCAAACCTTGAAATTACGTGTATCAAAGTGGAGTATGAATTGGTCATTAGATAAAAGCAAGTATGATTCATGCCTACATAGAATGACACACTGGTGATTCATCAATCATTTCTTATGAATGAATACAAAATTCCTTGAATATCCATCAGAAATAGATGTCTCATCTAAAATAAACACTTTATTGTTAGGATGACCAAATGTATTTTCTTTTGTTTTTAATGTTTTTTTATACACTTGTTATATAGGAAGGCGCCTTGAAACTAATAACAGAAGAGTATCATTAAGCTGGAATAAAATAAGTTAATTGGGAAAGCTCTGTTAATTGTTGGGAACACAATAGCATAATACATGGTGCTATCTGTATGGAAGAAAAAAAAGACTCAATATCAGGGGTGATAGTGAGCACTAAAAAAAAAAAAGGTTTTTTGTTTTCCCCTCAACCACGCCCCCCTTGAGTAAAAAAAAAAAAGAGGATTCGCGGGGGAAAAATGGCATCTAACAACATTCCCCCCATTCGAGTAAGAAAATTGGGAAACAATTGGGGGAAAAATAGGGCAAAATAGGGAAGAATAGAGAAAATAAGAGGGAAATTGGGAAAATATGGAAGAAGAAAAAAAAATTGGTAAAAAAAAAAAAAATCTGGATTTTTTAATATTTTTTATTTTTTTATAAAACAGGAAAAATAAAAAAAATTGGGAAACTGATTTAAATCGGGTTTTTATCAGGCCTGCAATATAATGGATCTTTATGATGAATCAAACTACAAATAATGAAGAGCTGCCAACCTTGTGCAACCAAAGAAAAAGGAATTTCAAGCACAAAAAAAGAATTCATTAAAATGAAACTTCCAACCACGCGCGACACACTTCCAATAACATTCTATTCCTCATGCTGTTATTTCCATATTAGGACCTATAGTTTATTACAAGTAGGTATTTTTTTGTGGGTATTATCAGTGTTTCATTCTTTTTGAGAATATTTATGCCTTTCACAATTTTTTTCTCTCTTTCTTTTTCGTTTACTATTTGTAAATTTGTACTGTTCATAAATTTCTATTGAAGTAGTGATCATCATTTTAGGGCATTTGTTTGATATGCAGTATGTGCAACAACAAAAAATAATAATAATAATAATTTTTTTAACATATCTTATGAAGAAAAAACGTACTACCAAAAATTTGAGGGAAAAGTGAATAATTCCGAAAAAAACGTAATGGTAGGCAGCTCTGAATAATGATATATTCTCTAAAGATGGACCAGCATCGCTTCATACTGATAGAGATCTTTCTTTGTTCAATGCCATCAGGGGTCTATCAAGGTCAAAATGTGTTCAAACTACCAGGACTTAACAGAAGAGGAATGATAATCATGATAATATTCCCCATGTTCATACAGTACCAGCAGATTTTAAACTGAAAGCATGCGAAACCTCAAGCTACATCCACTAACAACGATGAAGGTTTACACATTACCGAAACGAATATTCAAAGTTTAAAATTACAAACTGCGGGTGGGAAGGAATTATTTTAACTACAAGATAGCATAACCTTGAAGTTAATTGCCTCTGCACAGCACATAACTTCGTAAGGGGACCCTTACATGCTTCACTATACAAGTCACAACAATATTTTACGGGTAGCATTCTTGTCTGCCAACTATCAATGAGGATATCTTATAATTTTGCTGTACCCTGTCAGAAAATGCAGCATGTTAAAGGGAGTGCAGCTTGGCAGATACTGGTTAATGCCATCTACGTCTTCTTTTGCACAACTGCACATCAACGAATAAACTTGATTAAGGGTAGTCATCGACTCAATCTTTACATGGTCGGCGTTCGCGAAACAGACCAAACTTTTCCCAAGGCTTCGGTTTCGCGTATGTTGAACGCACATGATTGCTGCAGTTGGGTCGTCCGTAGTCGTATTATATGCGATTGGCCACGAGTCAGACCACACTCCCTTTAAGCACAAAACGGTAATCTGAAGTAAAATAAATACTGCATTAATTACTATTTACAGGTGCTCATTGGTATCCTCCACTGTCCTTCTGCAAGACATTTAGCTACAATTGACACTCTCCACCCAGGGGAAATAACAGGATAGCTGGTCAGACAAAGTTCCTTGAAATGCAGAGCATCATAATGTCATCCATGCTATTAAAGGTACTATGTCCCTTTTGCAGCCATCCTCAAATGCTGTAGAACTTTGCAGGAATTATGAATATGTCATGTATGTCCTATCTGTGAAATTTAAACGTTAGCAGTGTCCTCATATTCAAATTATGCAAGGAAACCTGTTTACTTGCTAGACTTCACTGTCAGACACAATTGAGTGACTGACTGGCTTTTTTCTTCTTTGGTAATAACATACATGAAAAGAGTGGTGAAGGGTACATGAGCATTTGTCTAGATCAATAACCCACTTCTTGTGATGGCCAAGATTAAACTGATTGAATCTTTGCGGAGCATAAAACGTATGACCATTCAGTACAATTGTCTGAAAATCAAGACTATTACTTTTGGGCTCTATAGCCCTAAAGTCGATTTGACAACTAATAGTCGTTATTTTCCCACTTGAAGACATTTTCAAGCCCCACCTTTTTTTAGGGAAGTTCTAAATTAGTATTATCTTTAAATGGGACATAGTACCTTTAAGCTGGAGGAATAACAGTGGAGCATCAGGAATTATTGTTGGTCCTTGGCCTTATTTGCTGTACATGTTATTGTGGAGTAGATCATTTTGAAACAATAATTTAACTGGTCACTTGTCGTCTGCTTGCAAGAAGGCCGTTACTGCTACTGACAATACATCGCTCATACAGCATTCTTGCTTGCAAGCGATGTTGTATATTACATGTTGGAAGAAATGGATGAACCCAATGAATGAAAAATTATATAATGAACACAATGCAATATAGATAAATGAATAAATGAACAAATGATTTAACAAAGGGAATAAATGAATGAATTGATAGATGAACTATGAATGAATAAATGAATGAATGAATGAATGAATGAACGAACGAATGAATGAATGAATGAACGAACGAACGAACGAACGAACGAACGAACGAATGAATGAATGAATGAATGAATGAATGAATGAATGAATGAAAGAATGAGTGAATGCATGAATGAATGAATAAAGAAATTAACAAACAAATGAATCTCTACACCCACCTCGATACAAATATGATGCATACCGCCCTCTGGCTTCTTATCCAGGAAACCCTGAATGGGACTGTCATCTCCCAGAGGGTGCAGGAGCTCTAGTTTGGTATTACCTAGCTCAATGAAGATAGTGTAGACACCATGGTCTGGCAGGGGCTGTTGATCCGAAAGATGAGAAGAACAGAAAGAAAGATGACTTAAAGAAAAATGTGCCTTGGAATCCTCAACAAACCAAATAACTTTGTTTTCATGAATTATTTTGATATAGACAACACCTAGTAAAGAAATGATTTGGTTATTTTAATACTTGCCACGTCAGACTGAAAGTACGACTTATTCTTTGAGAGTTGTCTAAATGCCAATGCCAATGCCATTCAAAGGCTTACACGTTACACCCCCACCCCTTCTCCCCAACAAACACTTATGACTAACAGGTTGTCTTGTTTTTATAAAGATGAAGATAATTCTAACTAGAAATCATTCAAAAGTTGGTCTCTTGAACTTTATGGTTAAAGATATTGTATATCAGTGTCCTATCTAATGCTGTGAGCATACGAAAGATTACCAGTTTTGTATGCAGGGACAATTAAACACAGGGTTCACACCCTACTCTTTGCGAGAAGTGTAGCGTATTAACCTGCATAGGGTGTGACTCTCCGACACACAGGGCCTCCAGTTTAAGTTTAAGTCCAAGGAATAGAGTGTTTTCTCCTGAACCAAAGCCTGTGACTGAATTTGAATAGATTCATCATTTGGACCTTATATACCCCCCTCCCCTGAGCGAACCTTACACTGGAACTTACCACAGTTTCACTGACTGTTGCTCCCAGTACATCCCTGTACATACTGGCTGCCTTTTCTGCAGATGTTGAAGTAGAGGTGAGAAAAGAACAGGATGAAATAATTTTTGTTTTTACTATTAGGTCAACTCTTGTCTTAAAAGCATAATGAAGTCCATTAAAAAAGTTCCTTACTACTAAAGAAAGGGGATTTTACACTTCATGCATTTCAGAGTCGTTATGTTGTCCTATACCAATTACCTCTAATAGCACTTATTTCCCTATCACCCCCTCCCCCAAGATAATTACAAAGAAAACACAAGAATACATGTGTATGTATCACCTCTTGCTAGCATTCCCTGCTTCAATAAATTATATCCTGGTTATTGTAAGGTCACATCCAGAATATAATGTCTGTACAAGTCTTATCATAACAAAACAACTTGGGACTTGCCTCAACCTCCAAAATTTCAGCTATTCTATATTTCACTTCCTTTACAACACCCCTGATATAACACCCTGGTATCATTCTCATCTCGTTCTTTTTACATGATGCCTATTTCATTCCCTTCCCCTTTCTGTCTTTTCCTTTCTCATTTTCTCCTTTCTCTCCCTCCCACCACCTCTCCCTTTCTCTGTCTCACCCCCTCTCACCCCCCCTCTCTCTCTCTCTCCCTCACAGTTCACAACCTCTCCCTTTCTCCCTCCCACCACCTGTCCCTATCTCAGTCCCCCCCCCCCCCCCCCCCTCTGCCATTCACACTCTTCCTAGATCTCTTTCCTCCTCACCCTTCTTCGTCTCATTTACTTTGAGATGTGATTCAAACTAAAGTTAACAAACCTAGATCAGGAACAGCAATAGCTACATGGTTCAGCTTTCCAAGTTTCCATAAATTGGACACACCATTATTACTTTGGTATCTCCTGGTTACCAGACCCAGTCCACCCTGTGAAGAACAAACAAAAATCAAAATTTTATATCACGTTACTAGAAACGAAAAATCTCTTGGGTAAACGCTGTAAATTTGGTGTTACTTGATAGCAATTTGAAGATTAAATGAAAGAAAGCTGAATATGAAACAGAAAGTTTTTTGTTAAATTCAAGATTTAAGAAAGTGAGTAATTCTGATTAAAAAAAACACTCAACCAGCACTCAACTAATATACACAAGTTTCATCTCTATTGTCATAATCTAGGGATTATATTCTTTAAACAATTTATAAGAAATTAGTGATATTATAAACTAAAGTCAAATTCAAGTAGACGAGCCTCTGGGCTATAATTTAATTCCACAAGACTCAAAATGCCTTCTTTCACATTAAAAAAAAAAGCAAACTGCATGAAAAATGCATGAAAAATGAACGAGTGTGAATAGACTAGTCTTAAGTCTAGATATACATTGCAGTAGACCCCTTCTATATTTTGTATTCTTTCATCAATATTCAACTTCAAACACATTTGTAAAATCTTTGCAGAAATGGGTCTTAAATGACATCCTCTTTCACATTATGATGAATTTACGTAAACATTTTGCCATCAAATTTGTTAGACTCCCAACACTTTAGAGGGGCTGAAATTTTAAGTTAGGGACTTTTTGCAATTTGCAATGTCAAAATAATTAACTTGGTCCTGACCTTGGACACATTTCCTTGTTTGGTAACTGTGAAAATTACATTTTTCTTGCTTGAATTTTGATGAAATTTTCGGCACACTTAGATTTCTACCTACTCTCTAGAATAGAAAAATTTGAGATCAAGCATAAGAGGAATATGATAGAAAATTATTATCAATTTAAAATGTCATATGTAGTGGGGTGCGCAGCGGCGCAGAGGTCGAGCTTCAGTTTCACATTCACATTTTATACACTTCACACTGCACTTACACTCACAGAAGACACTAATCTTTTTGTCTAGTTACATTCTCACCGAACATAACAACGATTTCGCAACGAGCATTGATCAAACTCGGCTTAAATTACAATTTCGTATTTTTAAGAAGGTATCAAAATAGCAAGACTTCAAATCTACAAGAAAATACTCACTCCAAGTTTTTGTAAAAACTTTGCCATGGAGGCTGCCATCTTGAATTTATAACTGAAGTATTCGATTTGTTTTCCTACTGTATCTGCAAACAGACTTTTTCCTCGTTCACTCAGAAATGTTTCTGCAGGTAGGGTGGGGGAGAGGGGCAATTCCTCGTGGTTGCATTGTAAACTCAAAAAAATTATAAAAGCATTCATTGACTTCAGTAAGCTAATTGAAAAAGCAGAAGCGGTCGAAATGGGGCGACGAAGGGATTAGCAAATGGAGCAAATGGAAATAATAACAAATAAGTTTTGTGTGTCATTTTTTTCATTGCCGCCGCCCCCAAGAGTTTGTTTTTTTATCATGTGGCCCCTGTAACTGTGTGAGTCACAATATTAATTCGGTCATAAATTCGTGTTCCTCAGTAGACTACCCAATTTCCACATTAGGAGAAGGCATTCAGGGGGGGGGGGGGGTACTCACATATTAAGACATAGTTACGGGGGTGTGCCGCTCTAATGGGTCACCTTTTGGGGGGCCATGCAAACACCCGAAAATTGTGAAAAATGACATTTACTTCGAGAAAAATCCCCCCAAATGACCCTTAAAAATGGGTAGGAGTTTCGGGGCGCTAGTAAGCGGCACACCCCCGTCCAAACCAAATCTGAGTACCCCCCCCCCCCCCCCCGCCCTTCCGGGCATTGAATGGCGTTCAGACACATATTTTAGTGAGGGGGCGGGAGCTGACACCTTTTGCAAAATACTAACTCTTCTGTTTGAAAATTTAAAAGTGCATACAATTTTAGACAAACTACTATGGGGCTACTAATGACCTGAACTTGTAATGGTAGTTGTCTTTATCTAATCGGGGGGGGGGGGGGGGGGGGGGGGGGCCGGATTAATATTTTTTGTATAGGGTGATTTTATTGGTCAGAACATAATATTTTTAACAAACTTTTGTTTCTTCATTTTCATAAACGTATTTGGAACATATGCAAAATATATGAATAATTGATAATCAGCTGATACATACTTTTTGTGAAAATACTGAACATAATAATACAAAATTGTGAACATAGCCAAGTGTATATAAATGGACATATTTGAAATAACCCTGTTCGTTATGATTCTATTTCTATGGTATACGCGCTATTGGAAGTTTTCCATAATGTCCTGGGGAGTAGTTGTCTTGGGGTTGGTATATGCCTAATTGTTCCGAGATAAATGAAAATCATGATTAGAAATTTCTTCAAGTAGCTTTGTTTAGAGAGAAAAAAAAAAGGAAAAACGAGGTATTTTATCATTCTGAGCAGTGAAACAACAAAATGTGTTCTCATGCTATATTTTCTTTTCGTAGTTTTATACTCGTTCATTATATTATATTGATAAAATGGCGGATTGAGAATTGTATCTTTATAAACTGTAGTTTGTAATTTCATTCTAAAACGATTATTTAGTTAGTTAAATTTATCCATTCAGTTATGATTTATGACTAAGTTTAGAAGTTATTGGAGAAAATACAAGCAATTTCTCGAAAATTTAGGTCTTCTAAAACAAATCTTTCAAGGAACTTACGTTTTAATCCGCCCTTTTATATGCAGCGAGAAAATTATGGAAATCGGTAATAATTCGTTATAGCTATAACATGAGAGTAATTGTTTCAAATACCAAGGAAAATCATTTATTTTCATAAAGAAAAAAATATATAGGCATAGATCTATAGCAGTTTATCGCAAGCGATTCAATTTCATGGCCGACTTTTGAGAAGAGAATAGGCCGAGAATAGGCCTAATAATATTTTGGATTTGAAGCTTTGCTTCACGCGGGCAATCTTAGAATAATTTGCCTATAGACGATACCTTAGACAAAATCGGGAAGAAAATCAATCGATTGGTTCAGTCAAATCAAATGATAAAGTTCAAGCCTCAACGGCCAAGGGATTCACAGAACTGGATTTTGTTAAATTCTCATAACCTTTAGAGCTGAAATAATCCAGTATGAAAGTCAAAGTCAAAAGTAAGTAAGAAAACAAGCCATATCTCGGTAGAATAAACTGTAGGAAAAGTGCTGTAGACCCTATCCCACTATTCTATCCCGGTTTTGATTGATTCGGATCGGCTGTCTAGTGTCTTCTGCTAGAGCTAGCGGAGTTCGGCCGCGCTACAGCCCGAGCCGCTCGGGCGCGGGTGCCGGGTGTGCCATGCTACTTTGCTAGGACTACGGTCGCCTCGCGGCTGATTTTGCGATCGAGGTAGTTAGTAATGGGTGGATAGGGTGGCTGGCCGCTGGGCCGTGGGCGGCCGTTGGCCGAGAGTAACCCCATAATAAAATGGCACTTAAATTTTTAATTTATTAGTAATAAATTAAAAATTTATTACGTTCCTGAAGAGTGAAGTAGACTGTCTCTAGCAATTATTAAGCATGGCCCATGCCCATGGGCATGAGTTGTAAGCATTCGTGCAGCTTCTTAAAATTGTTAAAAGTTACATTTGAGATGGTGTGTGTATTATAAGTTTGCCTGACTCAGTCACAGTGACTGTGAAGAGGAGTGTAAATTGCTATGTTTAAAACTTGAGCATTGTTAGAAAGTGGCTGAGGGTTTATTCCTTTTTAAAATCATTAGAGTAAAGGAGCCGGTAATCGGCCAGCTCCAGTTTTGGCCGATTGGTTGGATGCAATTGCAAGGTAAAATCGCTCTAAAATACATCGCATAATAGCATAACACATATCCCACACATACCATACCATGCCAGTGTCACTGAAGAACCACATTTGCAATGAAAAATATATCCTAAAATATCACATTTTAGCGATGTAATCGGTGGTCCCGCTACCCGAATCTGAAAAATCGAGTATTTTACGCGTGACTGTAAGAAATATGGGTACCATAAAATGAGCTTTATTTCAAGTATTTTTCAGATTTAGAGCCCGATTTTGTGCTAGTCGCAAGCTCAAAAGTATCTCATCGCATGTATTAAATCAATGCAGCCGCACACCGCAACGCACACACGATATCTCTGTCTAATTCAGATTCCAACTTCCGATCACCGCTGTGCCTGTCTTCGGCCAGGCGAGCACTCGGGAGCTCCGGCGTGGGATACCTGCTCCGCCCGCTTGTGCTGTACATCAGCGCGGAAACGCACGGCGCGCGCGAGCGCTTCCTATTGACTTTGTACATGCGGCCGTAAACTGAAACGCTCGGCCGATAACTGGCTCCAAAACAGTGAAAATTGAAATGAATATTGTCATGGCAATTCGTGATTTTTTTCTGGGATTCTTTTTTTGTTTTTATAATAATAATATTTGCTTCATGATTTGAACAAAAAATGAAATAGGAAGTAAAGGGTCCTAAAAAAAGGATTTTGTCTTAAGTGGCCGAAAACGGGCTCCTTTACTCTATACCCATTTGTTATAAATATAGGCAAATTCATGCAAAAAAATATATTAAAAAAATTGACTTGAAAACACATCAGACAATTAGTCTGAACCGAGTCAGGAGCAAATTTGAAGAAATTATATTTTTAAATGTTGTAAAACCAAAGATATAAGAAGAAAACTGACCAAGTATCTGTACTAAAAATCGTACATGTAAAATTGGTCGTATACATTCGACAGCTGAAAATGACGCGCACGGTTGCATTACGTGCGTTCTCGAATCCAAAATCATACTTCACACACACACTCTCGCCATACCGCGAATGGTCCTTCGTGGGGAGCTAGCCGGCTGAGAGTTTGCAGCGATACCAACGCAGCTTCGGAGCTCCGCAGAGCGCCATTTTAGCGGGACTCGGAAGGGTTCGCGTGGGAAGGCAGCGGCCTAGCTTTTTGCCCAAACAACGCTAGATCGGCTGCTGGCAAAATGAAAATAACTAAGATCGAGAACATCGTCGGTTTCTTAACTTTTCAGTGAGATAATTCTGAATTCTAATTGAGACTATATAATCAATTGAATCGACAAAGAAACCTCGGTAGAACTCTTATAACTATACAAAAGCTTGTTTATTTCTTCATTTGGCATTTTGTTTTCGACCATTTTTCGTGCGCGAGTCAATGCAAACTATGTATTACCAAACTTTCAACACGCAAGGAACGGGGAACACTTGCGGACCTTGTATCAAATTCGTGATTTTGAAGCAGTGTAGAATATTGGCGCTGCAATGCGCAGAAATATACTTGAAAGAAACTTAATAAATCATACCTGAATTTTCAGAAAATCGTATTTGTATTAGTGTACCTAGATGTGACTTGTTTATAACTCAGATTTTATGAAGATTTGTCGGGAAAAAATGTCGTTTGGTGGTCATTTCTAGGCTAATATTTAAAAAGTTACTTCAGTAATGGGCCCGATGTTTCTCTTATCACACTCGCATGTTATTTCTACATAGATTAAACATAGGATGGTTAAGGGTAAGACCGGATAACATTATAAAAAAGATATATCCTTCCAACCTCCCATATCCAAGTTTTGGGCTGATTATTGCCGACCCACCGCAGCAAGGCCATTCAGATTGTCGTACGCGAGCGAAGCGCCCTCTAGTGCCCCATGAATGTGCCTAATAAATATACTTTTCAGTCATGGGATGAAACTCAAGAATGCTTGATTTATTGATTATATCTCATGGCATAACCGTTGCTACGTAGACTATGTTTAAAACTTGATTTCCATTACTTTAGAAAGTGGGTTTATTCCTTTTAAAACGAAACCACATTTGTTTATGATTTTCAGTCATGGAATGTGCAAGAGAGCTAGAGGTCTAGATCTAGATCAAAATTGTGCAACTGAGCATTAAAAATTACCTTATTGTCTCTCTTTTTCAACAGCTGTTAATCTAGAGGCATGATGCTTAGAAAGTTGATGACCAAAGAGTCATGAATCTTGCCTGACTAAAAAGAGTAACAGAAGTAGTACTAGTAGATCTAGCGTATGTTCTCTGATTTGTCATCAATCGTGCAGATCGTTATGACTTAATGGTAGTGCAGTACATGTATGTTCAAAGAGGATATGTTTAACTTTGGGTTTTTCAACATAAACATAGTATAGTGCATGTATAGTGCATACATGTACATTGTACATAATCTACTAGTTCTGATTAATTCCTGTTAATTAACTGTCTCTTTGTATCTATTTTCCCCTTATATTCACAAACCTTTCTGTGTGGTCCCATCTCTTTACATTGGCTGATTGAAAAAAGGGTAAGTAGACCTATGCTTGATTGTGATCAAAATCAACCTTTGGGTGATTCCATACAATGTGTTCCTTATGACATATGACATTTATCCATATTCACTTTTCAGTGAAACCTGTATATAAAGACCACTCAGTGGAGACAAGAAAATTGGTTTTTATCTAGGCAGATGGTCTTCATGTTCAGGTTTCTTCAGTACCCACTTAAATGAGAAACTATTTCCAAGGGAAACAAAAATTATTGTATTTAATGCAGGTGGTCTTTCCATAAAGGTGGTCGCTAAAGCAGATTTTACTGTATTTCATCTAAGAATAAGAATATCTTGCTATGACTAATGGGAGTGATACCATGACACACCTTTTTTTCAATGGTCATATCAAGATATTCTTCATTTATTGGATAAAGTACCGGTAAGTGGAAAAAGGACTGTTGTCTTACAGGACACATTGCACAGAAGCCCCCCATTCCATATGTGTTTTAATGTTGAATAAATTGCACCACATTTGTATTGGCTGTACAACAAGATTTGATAGAGAAACAATTAACATTTAAATTATTTATTTTTTGGTCTCTCTAAAGTAACATTCTTGAACACTGGATCATCTTCTTCTATTTTCCTGTGGTTATGGACATCAAATTTGATTAATTGTATATGTAAATTTATACAATAAGATCTAAAAAAATTATTTAACAAATCATATCTAGCAACTTGTTGGTGGTTTCCAGGTGCTGGGTCACATACATATTATGTACATGGGCTAAATGCAGCATGGTCCGCAAGGTGTTTAAACATGTAACAACAACATTTTCAATTTTATTACACACTGTGTTTGAAAATCAGCAGCAGCTAAATAATGCTAATAACAAATTATTTATGAAATATTAATCTTAAAAATAAAATGTGTTATAAAATACTTATAGCACTTTAAGCAAGCCATGGCGCCCCACCACAAGAGACTTAATGATTCACACATGCAGTACCCGGGTCATACTCTTTGCAATTTTTTTGGTGTGGACCATCCTGATGTAGTTATTTGTTTGATTGCTTTTGTCTTTGCAGTTGGACAGCTGTGGCTACCTGGAGGTGGATAGCCAATGATGATAACTGTGGGATCTGCAGAACAGCCTTCGATGGTTGCTGCCCTGACTGTAAAATGCCTGGTGATGACTGTCCTCTTGGTAAGTCAAGTCACTGATTCACTCCTGTGGTAGGGGTAGAAATCTATTAGGATGAAGCAGGGAAGGTAATCACCAAGAACATGGAGGAGGGGGAGGAGGAGGAGGAGGAGGAGGGGAAAAGGAGGAGGGAAAAGGAAGAAAAAGGTGGAGGAGAGAATGGCTTTCGATTTAATAAATCATTGACACCCATCTATACCGAAGTAACCGTTTTGCTTTTAAGTTTCCTGCTTTAAACTTTCCCATTTTACCAGCATTTTAATAAATTTGTGCATTATCAAAAAATATATTCATATTCTCTTCCAAAATAGTTGAATAGTATGTTTGAATAAATTGTTTTAATTCCCATATGTTTGGTAACATTAGTCACATACAGTACCTCTCTCTATCATATTCAATCATATTAAATGTTTGATATGGATATGTTATGATCTTTGCAAATCACATACAATTCAGCCTCTGTCTGCAGTATAGTATTTATTCCCTCAATTTCATTCCATTCTATTTCTTGCAGTGTGGGGCCAGTGTTCCCATGTCTTTCACATGCATTGCATCCTGAAGTGGCTCAACTCACAGCAGGTTCACCAGCTCTGTCCGATGTGCAGGCAAGAGTGGAAGTTCAAGGAGTGAAGATGGAGACAGTTCTGAAGACAGTTCTGCAGACAGTGCCAGAGTCAGTTCTGCAGACAGTTCCGGAGAGAGTTCTGCTGACAGTTCCAGAGACAGTCCTGCAGACAGTTCAACCCTCAAAGACATTAGCAGAACTTGGTGAACACTTGTATGGATGGAAACATTCCCTTCCCTTCGTAAAGAAGATCTATCATGAGGTGGACGAGAAACTGGCACTTGTTATGACCACCAGGATGTTCTTACTACCAATTCTCACCCCGGTGGAGAGAGACAGTCAAATATGAAATGCCTCAAGAGCATGGGACACAACTGGTTCTTGGATGAGAAACTGGCACTTTTTATGACTACCTGGATGTTCTTACTACCAATTCTCACCAGGGTTGAGAGAGACAGTTATATATGAAATACCACAAGAGCATGAAACACATGTGGTTCCTGCTGCTACCACTGTCGTATTATAAGGGCTGCTGAGGAATGGTAGTGCCAAAAGCAATTAAGAAATTCTGCCAACCTAGTTTACCTGAACAGAGCTAGAGAGAACTATTATTTATAAAATGCCATTGCCTCATGGGGTTGATACACAAATGCATATTATTGCTACCCTGGTAGTGTTGAAGCCACAGTGGAATTATATTCTGACTACCTGGGGGTGTTTCACAATGATCCTAACTTGATTTTATCTCTAACTTGGACTTAACTTAACTATTATGGGAAGCCGTTAGCATTATTGAAAATATTTTGTAAGTTATTTTAAAAGGCATAATATGCTTATTCAAATCATTCATATTGTCTATTATCAAGTAGATTTCATGTTTTTGATGTGGAATTTACGAAAAGTCTAAATTACTTCAATTCTCGCTTTTGAATATATTTTATTTCAAGGCTTCAAATGGCTCCCCGTAATATTTAAGTCCAACTTGTCCAACTTCAGTTTGACTTGGGGTCTTTGTGAAACACCCTCAGGTCTTACCAGGGCTTGTTAGTACAATTCTACCTGTTGCTAACTTGCTGTAAAAGTACCCAAAACCATTCACAAACTTCATCTCGAACTGCTTGGAATTTTGATCATTTGTCAATGACCTGTGCAGTCAAAATGATATTCAAGTAGTACTGGAAGTGCCCTTCGAAGCATAGTGTGTTGAATATTATTTTAAGAAAAATAGTATTTTAACTTAACATTTGGAACGTCTATTTTATTTTTTTTTAATTCCTTGGATGTGGCTTTTATATTCACATTGGCATATTGTTTATTTAACACGTACAAGTATTAAATGGAAAGGATGTTTTGGTTCATAAGTACATGTATAACATTTTAACCTCACACTTGTTATACTTCACAAGTAATGAGAAAATACTAAATATGTATGAGCCAGAAACATAAGATTGTAAAATCAAAAGAAATATATCAAACTCTTGTATAGCTCCTTGCCATCCATTGTGTGTGTCATTTTGTGATTTTTCTTTAAAATGCGTAATTGAGAGATGTAATGTAACTTTGTAAGGTAAGACAGAGCAAAGGGGGAGGTTATAAGGGAGAGATGGAAGAATAAGAAAGAAAGGAAGTAAAGAGGGGGCATAGAGAGAGAGAGAGGGAGGGGGTCGAGGAAGAGTGTGAATAGAGTGAAAATAGAGGGTGGACAGAAAGAAAGACTAGGAGGGGCAAAGGAAGGAAAATATTAGACTTTGAGTGGAGTTAGAAGGGAGAAGATGAAACACTTTCACAAAGAGTTTCAAATACCCTATTGTATTGCCTTTTAAAAAAAATGATGTTATTACGTTAAAGGGAAAGTCCACCCTGAAAATAAGTTAGTTTTAATAGGAGTAGAAAAATGAGAGAAACAAGTCAGTGAAAGTTTGAACAAATTCCGATTAAAAATAAGGAAGTTAGGATTTTTGAAGTTGTGATCAATCAAACACAAATTGGCAACTCTATGACGTATCATGCGAGCTCAACTTCCATTTGCTCAGTACTAAAAAAATCTAAAATTTTCATTTTCCCTCAAGAAAAATTTCAACCATACATGCACCCTAAATATATAGTAATTGCAAATATGTTTCTATACTCCCCCTGCAAGGAACAAATATATATTCCGTCATCAATAACGAAGAAAACATGATTTTATGGAATATTATGCACAAAGCAAATGAAGGAGAGCTCGTATAATAAGTCACAGAGTTGCCAATTTGTATTTGATTGATCACAACTTCAATAATTCATAACTTTCTTATTTTCATTCAGAATTTGCTCAAACTTTCACTCACCTGATTTTCTTATTATTCTGCCTCTTTCGAAACAAACTTATTTTGGGGGTGGACTTTCCCTTTAATTAGAAGAAGAGAGAGGGGGTGATCCGACATTTCCTCTGGCGACAATTGCTCCAGGCTTTATTTTGTAAAAGTATAGCTTTAGGTCAGGGTTGAATTAAGTTTATACCGAGGTAAGCTGCTTGGTACATTGTACAACCGAAAGAGAAGGGGGGGGGGGGTGATTGAGGAGGAAAAGAATATGAGGAAGGAGTATATCGATAAAGTAAAGAGGAAACGGGAATAATATGAAGGGATGTAAGGAAAGATAGGGAACAAATGGGGGGGGGGGGGTGGGCTGATTAGAGGGATGGAAGAAAAGAGGGTTTAGCTTAGAAGAAGAGAAGGAAGAATGGATAAAAATTGTGCAACCTGAAGAGGGGAGAAAAGGAGAATGTTTGAAGAAGAGGAGGAGGGAGGTAATAAAAGGAGTGGTCAAGATTGAAAATAAAGGGAAAAAGATGAGGGGGGATTGGCTTGGAAGGAGGGAAAGAGAGAGAGAGAGAAAATCAGAATATCGGAAGAAAAGTGAGGGCGAAAGGGACTGGAAAAGTGAAAGGAGAAGGGAAGTCGGATGATTGAATGGGGAGACTTAGAAGGGAAATGAAACAAAAAGCTTGGTACGTGAAACTGGCAAGAGGGGGAGAGAGAGAGAGAGAGAGAGAGAGAGAGAGAGAGAGAGAGAGAGGGGGGGTAGGTAGAGAAAGAATACACATACATCATCGCTACAAAGATCTATATGGTTTTTATAATAAAATATACTTACTCGCATCTCTGATCGTAACTTTATGAACAGAAAAATCGTTATTCGGAAAACATCTACCCCCGTGCTAAAATTACACCTGTAAATCCATAACTACTATTTTAATATCTCCGCTTGACCAAAACGGTCTTCACGGAGATGAAGATAAATATAGTATACTTTTGTCTCTACAACTTCCGAGACATTGTCAAAACTATGAAAATATGGCTTTTAAAAAAAGTGACAATTTTCTTAAAGATTCAATAAATTGAATATAGTGATAGTAGATGATTCGCATCATCGCATGTATATTATTTAATTTATGACAGAATTGTGGCTGGTGTTTCGTAATGTCGAATTCAAAATTAATGAAAAGGATGTTTGATCTATAAGGAAATAGGCCTAGGCCTTGGGGGACTAAAGCACAATAGGGCCATTTAGAATGAAAATGAAGTTCAATAACCTTTTTTTGTTAGAGTAGTCGTTCATTATACAGTTACAATGCTAAAGAGGTCGGGCATTGACCCTTTATATAGTTACCGGTATAAACGAGTACAAGTTAAATGTTCAAAACAAGAGAAGCTAAACACAATCAGATGGATGCATAATAAGCCCAAAGGTTTTCAAATGATAGGTCATTGACCTAGCTTGCATTAAGTGTTCGAGAGTGGCGCGGTTAAGCTCTGTGGGCCGGGTCAACGCCTAAAAACTGCTTTTCAGAGAAACGTCTGGTGGTTGTATAAAGCCGTTTTAGGATTTTCTTCACGTTCATACAACATATAAGCACAAGGAGCACCACTCGTTTTCTGGACATTTTATGTATCCATGTACATTCAGAGATGGAAAAGTGTACAGAAAAAAGAAGGGCTTTTAAATTGAATTTGGTCCCCGTCGCTGAGTCGCTCGAAAATCTATATCTAGGGTCTATTGTCAATTTCGAAATTTGAATTCGCCATAGGTTTGATTTTAACGAGCGCCATCATTTGTTCGAAATATACCGCCCATACAGGCGCTAACGTAACCCATGGCATACATTACGTACCCGATGCTCTCCGCCGATCCGCAATATTGCAGATAGCGTGCATATAAACCTATGGGCGTGTAATAATAAACTTCTGTTCTGACGATAGGTTTCTAGATCTACTTCTTCTACGTTTTGATGAGCACAACATGTTCTTGCTGTCCCGTAGCCAATACTGTCTGATAAGCAGTGGATTTTATACCGCGTGTATTCCATGAAATTTGGATCTTCAAGAGAACTCAACCTTCTTGCATTCTGGTGAGTGATTTCATTTTAAATGTTCGCCTAAAAATAAATCATTCATGAAGACATGATTGATTGATAATGATATGGGGGATTGTCATCGACATGATCAATGATCAACCATCCAATGATCCATTCAGCTAGGCCTACAGAAAGTCAAAAGTCACTTACTGGCTTACTCTGTAGATTATCCCTCTATTCCTAAGGGAAGGGCTCTCAAATTGACTCTTAAAAAGGGCCTAGGGCCTAGTAGGACTACATTGTAGGTGCAGATTGCAGAAACAACTTTGTCTGGTAAATTATTCCTGGCATGGACATGTCGTGGTTGGACCATTGAAATTTGAGATTTCATGTTACCAGGTTACCGTACTGAAATATGTTAGATCTAAGACTTACGTGACTTTTGACATTCTGTAGGCCATATAAGTTAACGACATGCGGAATACCGCCCTGCTGACTCCAATTTCAGAAGGTTCAGAAGGTACACATAGACCCTACATGTAAAAGATGATTGATAATCGTTCATGATGATGATTATTATAGGCTAGACGGTAGACGTCTATGATCCAGGCAGGCTTTCTATTTATTATTGTTAATAACAATATTGTCTTTTCATTTTGGTTTCAAGTGTGTAGAAAAAGGCGTATGCACGAAGAAATTTGTGCATTGAGTGCTGTACAGTGAGTTTATGCACTCTCATTGGCCGATACGCATGAGTTGCTTTGAATTTAAGTGAGAGAGGGCCTACATGTACTTAACTTAAGCGCAACTTAAGTTCAATGGCAAAGTCAATACGTAATATTACGTCACACCATGGAGATTTTGACATGTCCTGCTTTAAACAGGTGACGCACTTCACACATTAAATTGACGCACAAATGAAATTACACAAACATAAAATAGAAAAATCAACGAACATTTAAGAATAAATTTCCAGTTTGTACCTTAAATATGACAAAAATATGTTCAACCTCAAAAACGTAACTTTTAAACTTACATGTAAGTGAAATACTTAACCTTTTAAGGATGCTGAAAAAACGTAACAAATAGAGGGTTTGACTGAGATATCATAATTTTGGTATAAAAAAAGAAGGAAAATCGCGAGCTAGCTCCTCGCACAAATATCTATAACATTGAGCAAATTGCAGCCAGTGATAGCTAATAAGAAAGAACTTTAATTCTAACACATTTCTAGCAAATTTAGGAGACCAGTGGGGCATTGCAATCGATTGCAAATTTTAATTAATCAAAGGTGCGATTTACATGACAGAAAATGCTGACTAATAAGTTTGCGATGTCAGTTCCGGCTGAAATGCAAAGATATGTGGTATACTTAAAAACAGTTTTTTGCATTGCCAATTTGATACTTTACAATAATAGTGATTAGTGTAAAAAAGACGTGCGTGCAGGGAGCTTGCTAAATTTAGCAAACTCAATGCATTTGCCTTCGTAGATATGGAGTAGAACTCCAATTCTATCAATTGAACTTTTTTTACCAAAAACTTTTTTCTGTGAATCTGTCATAATAATCCGTCTCTCTGTCCTTACCACGCGTGGGCCTAGCCATTCATTCATTCATTGGCTAAGCCTCGTAGGAATGCAAAGAGAATAAATCTTCTTTGAGAGAATTTAAATCCCTGTAACTTTGAAAAGAAGGTGCTTGAAAAGAGAGTTTAAAAAGGTAACTTACTGTTATGAGGTGCCCAAGCCTACAACTTTGCTGAGATTTGGTCAATTCATTCTTAAATAAGAAGAGCATTTTGCTTGCTTTTTAGAAGAAGAAAGAGTGAATGTTTTAGAAAAATCAAAAGAGTTTAAGAAAAATCTTGCAGACAGGCTTGGGAAAATGTGACATTTTGATATTATTCCCCCATTAAAGCCCCTCTAAAGTGTTGGGAGATCCAAATTTGCCAACAAGTTGATGGCCAAATTTCTCTTAAATTTGTATCATAATGTCAAAGAGGATTTCAATCATGTCAAGACACACTTCTGCAAAGATCCTCCCCCCCCCAAAAAAAATGTGTTTGACGACAAATATTGATAAAAGAATAAAAGAATACATATACATGTACAATGTACATGTAGGCGTATGAACAGGTGTACATGTAATTTGGGTTTGCTGTTGACTGTTGTACGCAGATAACCTAAATGTTGTATTCTTTCATCAATATTTGACTTCAAATCCCTGCACAATTGTGTCGTAAATGACATCCTCTTCCACATTATGATACAATTTAAGTGAAATTTTGCCACCAAATTATTGGGGCTCTCAACTTTTTAAAGGGGCTTTAATGCACATATTGTACATGTCATCATAACTATCAGACTTTGCTTGAGCACCCAAGCCCCCCCCCCCCCTGTCATTCAGGGTTGATATTTTACAAATGTGAGGTCTTATTTTTGGAATGTGAGTGGGCCCTATGTGCATGTAAGTTTCTGCAATGCTGAGTGTCCACAATAGGTTTTTCGAGTGACCTACATGTACATAATATCTTTCTTTGATAGTGCAAGGTTTTATGACTGTTTTCTTTATTTACTAATGGATGTTCTCAAGGAATTCACAGAATTGGAACTTTTTTTTTTGTCCCATTCTAAGATGAAATGTCTACAAGGTACTGTACATACATGTACTGTGCAACAATGTTCTGTATTACTTGCACACTGTACAGTGATCTGTGTTTACAGACCTGTACATGTACCTGTACATGTATACAAGGGCACAGGCATAAATAGACACTTTGCTATTTGTGGGAAAACCAGACGACCAAGGTAAACAAACAAAAAAATGGAAAAAAAGATATTATAAAAGCAGGAGGGAAAAGAAGAAGAAAACCTACAAGTACAGTATGTAATCAATCATGTCTTTTCACTTGTTGCAATTTGCAAATGTTAAATACATTTGTGAATGCATTCAACAGTAGAGCTAGCGGATCACATGACCTTCTAGATGAGTCACCTGATTGATTATTCATAAGTGTCAATCAATATACATGCAGTGTACTGTATTGTACGTGTCGTTGTGTGTTGTACACATGGTGACGTGTAGACCTTGTATTCTAGACACTATTCTGTACATGTACAATTGATGCCTTAATGATTGCATGGTGCTGGGTTTAATTTATCTATTGTAGTATGCATGCAGTCCTATTAGAGTTTGTTTATACTTGAGTGTTTTAGAGAGCATGGACAAATTAGTGCACAATCTTTTATTTACATGAAAGATGCCGTGACAAAATATTGTATTTGTAGTTCTTGAGATTTGTGTAGCTTGGTGATGTCATTCTGTAAATATCAATGAAATGTGGACAAGCCTGTACTCCTGTAGAAATATAATTGTGTAACACATTAATTTTCTCAGATTAATTTACTAAATAAAATACTTTAATTGTAATCCGAAATCCTGGTATTTCAAAATATACATGTTTGGCCTACACACAGTGGAGAGACATGTACATGTACATGTTGTACGTACATGTAGGCCCACAGAAAATATATTTTGGAAACCATTGCAATATACAAATGCATTATACAGTAAGTTGGGGGTATTAGGTCTGCATGCACAAAACATGTTTTCATGTACAGATAGGCCTGCAGTAGTCTCAACTACATGTACTGTACATGTAAGCCTTCTTGTATACTTCAATTATGTACATGTACATGTATGATTTACATGTACATGTATGATTTACATGTACACTGTACATGTATGATTTACATGTACATGTATGATTTACATGAAGATTTACTAATTGAGACACAAAACCTTGAAAATGGTTGATTTCCTTGAATTGTGTCCATTGTTGCCCATTTAATAAGGAGCAGTAAATTTGGCCTCTGTAAAATTAAAGACTGGAGGCTAAAATGTATGATTCACTCCAGACCTCACACTAAACAAAACAACCATAATATATTTCCCTGAATCAAACTCCCACACATGTGCTGGACACAAAACACGAAGATAAGTGTTTTTTTTAATGGAGGGGCCTACATGTATTGTTAACATCCCCACAAATAATGTTCCACACCCCCTCTCACTGTCTTATTCAGTTATTGCCACTTGTGTTGTACTCAAAAAAATATCAGAAAAGAGAAGACAAAATGTTTATTGTTTACACCCCCACAAGTCATTGTCCAATGCCCACACCCCCTTTCACTGTCCTTCATAGGGGATGCATTGAGTAGAATAGAGTGTGTGTGTAGATAAAGGGATGAAGAGGACAAAGGGTTTGTCTCCCACACAGACACCGGCTGCAGTAAGGGCTTGTGTGAACAAAGCCATTAAAGGCCTGCTTTTACAGTTAGTGTGAACAAAGCCATGGCCCCTTTTATCTCTGTGTGCATTATGGAGCCCATGAACTTGCATGTTGTAGGATGGGGTGCATTACTTGCTTTGTGTGTTTTGCTGGGGGGAGGGGGGGGGGGGGGTGTCTTATGTGGCCTCACCAGCTGGTCATAGAGATCTTTGTTTACTTTAAGTTTACATTACATGTTGGACAAACAATAACTTAGTAGTGGTACTTGGATAGTGCATGCATATATTGGCCACATGTCATTACTAACGTGGACCTACAGTGTATGTACAGCGTATCTTACAGCTTGTTTTTTCCTTGTGAGTAAAGCAGTTGGTAAGCTTATTTTTGTTAATGTTTTGTAAAATTGAAATATATTTCCATAATTATCAGATTAATATCATGACTTTCTTTGTAAATCTTCAAAGTGCACACTTGTTTTAATATGATAGTTTTACGTTTATGTAGTTTATGCACATTTCAATGCACATATTTAAGAATGTATTGATCAATGGGAAAACTGGTGAACTACCCATTATAATGCAAACTACTAATCCTGTTAATATTTGTCTCCTCTCACTATTAAACTGCGAACATATGAAACCATATGCTGCAGTGTGTGTTCATTGTACGCTATATACATGTACATGTACATGTACAGTAGGCCTTGCATCTATAGACATTGTCTTGCTCACTGTATATTGTGCATTGAAAATGCAGACTTTCTAATGGCATGTAAACAAGGTCCATGACGATCTTGGTCACCCATACATGTGCATGTACATGTACAATGTACATGTAAACATGACAGTACAACAACTCTGTAGTTAAACCATTTTTTTTAATGATAACAGTAACATGTACATTTAATCTTACTCTAATTTTATTATTGAAATGTCAAAGTCCTCTAAGATGTGATTAATTGGAGATACGCTTGTACAGTATACATTTTGCATGTAAACAACAGAAATTAGTAGTCTGCAAGCACAGACTCGGCTGTTTATTTGCAAATGCAAACATGTGTACATGTACACTGTACAATACTGTAGAGTACATTATGTAGTTATGAATGTGAAGGCTACCTTGCCTGAATAACTGTGTATCCTTGAAAAAAGGCATCAATGTACAATTTAGATAATGCACAGAACATGTCAACAAGCCATGAGCATATTGCAAACAACCCTACTTGTGTTTCATGGGTCATTTACATTGACTGTACAGTAATCTAAGCTTATTATCGATCGAAGGATACACACTTCACTGGAAATACATCAAAGAAAAATGGTTGTAAATTACATCAAGTTTGATTATAGTGTACGTGACTGTCGTCACATGGCTTTTACATGTACCTCTTGTCTTGAAACATCAGTTATCTCTTTTCGTGAGTCCAGATACTGTGTTTAAATACTGCATGTACTATTGACCTGGGGCAGTAATTATACAAACGCTTCAAGATTCTTATCAAATTGAGAAAAAAATTAGAAGTGTCCATGGAAATAGTCGTAAGTTTGTTGACCTCAGTTTACAATAAGGGCATTTCTGTCTACTTGTACATAGTAGTCGTTGTTGTCTGCCTACTCTTGACTACAACATTTAAAAAAAAAATTTGTTTACATTCTTTTCATTGTAGATTATTGTGTATTAATTTAATATATACATGTACATTAGGGCATGAATGTCCTCGGCAAGAAACTTCTTGCCCCTCTCAATCCAGATGTAGTACATGTAAATGGATAGGCCTACTGGGTAGAATTTATAATGCTTATTGTACATACACTGTATGTAGGACATGTAAGTGATGTAACAGTGTATGATATCATTACTTCACTTGTAGAGTTATAACAAAAAATACAGCACCCTTTTCAGGTTATGAATGTGAAATGTAGTTCATGAATAGGTTCAGAGTACAGTAACTTCAGAAATTGGACTTTCAAGATTTGCTGTTACAGAACTTTGTACCAAAATTATTGGCTTTCATTTTCAATTCAAATCAGGTTAACCGAAGGGGACTTGACTTCCTGGGGTGTTTATTTTGAAATCAAAGTGAAATACTTTTATGACAATGGGACATTTTTGGGATTCTGCTAAATCAAATTTGACACTGTTGGGTACAGGAGGTTCAGTGACTCTGTAACCCTTCTCTCTTTTAGACAGGAGTACAGGCATATATTTCAGGACAATCAATCATCATGCAGTTTTATAAATGAAAATACATTTTCTCAGAATATCTTATCAAATCTGCAGTTCCTTGCAAAGTCTTGAATGTTCAGTTTGTATTTGGGAATGGTTGTGCAGTTCATCATTCATTGTATTTTGGATACCGTTTAAACATGCATCTTGTTTTTGCAAAATATCCACTCTACAAATACAATGTACAGGTACACGTGTTTTTTAGCCACTTGTTTAATTTCATGGACTGATTCATTTGACTCTAACAACGACAGGCCACTTTTTGAGAGGGATTATTTACATTTGACACAGTTTCATAATTTTCCATCATAACATCACTGACCTTCATGTATTTAAGTAGGTCATTGTACTTTACCTTCACAATGTTCAGTTTTGAAGGTCATGGATCATTTATACAAACGTGCAAACTAAATGTCTTGGTCATAACTTAGGGCCAAGGATACTGTCATTAAACAATGTGTATTGACTGTATTCTTATCTCTCTGGATATACTGGTACATGTACAGTATAAATCATCGAGACTCTTTCTCGCATTTCTCACTTTTGCAGGTACATGAAGTTGCGATCACTGGTAAAGCATCGCTGTTGATTATGCAGTAGACTTCGGAGCATACATTCTGGATACCTAGAACTTGTTCATCATCACTTACTGATCAGAACCGGTCTCGCATAAAGACCAACCAGCAACCTGCTGTATTTATAGATTGTTTGTTATTTTAAGGTGAGTGGAGCATTTGCGTTGCTTCTGCTGAGGCACTAAGCGAGGCTTTTAAAATATTTTTGTATTGTAGTTAGGCTGTAGTGTGAGATTGCATTTGAACATGTTTTATATTGGAAGGTAATAATGTAGGTGCATGTGCATCCATCTAAGGCCAACTAAAAAAAAAACATGTTTAGCGTCCTGTTTTTTTGAAAAATAGGAAGGAGGAGGCCTTTTTTTTTCTTTCAAAATGGCCGCTCAGTACATTTTCCCTAAAAGTCAAGCTGTTTTTCAAGATGGCCGCCAACATTTTTTTTTTTTTTTAAATCCAGAATACAGTGTAGATCCATTTTAGCAGTGTTTTTCATGGTTTTTTTCTTTAAACAAAAAAAAAATTCCAAAAAAAAAAATTTCCCCCCCAAAAATAGAAGGCGGCCCCCAAAAAGGAAGCGGCAGGGACGCTAAACATTTTTTTTTTTTTAATGGCCTAATGGGATTTAATCTGGGATACATGGATAGTTTGATATTTTGTCCCAATGGAAATCTAAAGGGATGAATGGAATTCTTCCTTTTTTTTTTTGTAGAGGGATGATTTAATAAAAATATGATTTAATAAAAATTTGAATTTTTAAAATTCAAATTCATTTGAATCTACCGGTACATAAAATGTACAGTGTATGCCACACTTTGGCAGATTGACTTTTCCATTTTGAGGGTCTCTTGTTTTACGTACATGTAGGCCCGTACATGTACATTTTAGGACAGCTCCCTCACCCTGTTTTGTTATCGAATCTACTTCTCCCACTCAATTTTTTTTCAAACGGAGAGATTTTGTAGTTTTTGTAGAATTTTAAGAAATTTAAAATGTAAACAGCGTATTGTCCGTAAGCTTAAAGGCACTGACATGTCATTGGTAGGTCTGCATTCTACCATGGTTGCTTTTGGTTTAATACTCAGTCATGTTAAAGAAATTAAACTTCATTTACATGTACTGTACATGTACTCATCACATGTCTAATGGCCCATCTGTGTCTCGGAGTATGATTTCATAGGCAACTCATACATCTCTTCAGCTGTGTTTCCAATATCGTCGCTGTTTTCACGAAGTGACGGTTGTGAGAAAAAATTGCATTCACTTTGCGTGACGATTTTCCTCACTACCGTCACTTCGTGAAAACAAGGACGATATGTCTACCAGTACATGTATGTGTAGGAGCTTTTGCAGGGTGCATGCTGGGATACCTGAGGAAGATATCATTTCATTTGTAAATATAGCCATGCATACACGAAAGGAGAGTTAACCCTCCCGGCTGATCGTGCCGTGATTGATAACTTCGAACACACTCAACCTGGCAGCATTAGCATCGGATTGCTATAATCTTATGCTTTGCTTGGGTCATGTTTTCAGTTATCAATCATAATCTAGCATGCTGCAGTATTTATTTGCTTCCTCCCTGACAGTATTTTGTGCAATATTTATGATTTGATTTGATGTCCTTTTTTTTTTGTCCTGTCTTGTCTTGGCCCAGCCCAGGAAAGGAAATATGTGAGAAATTTGATGCTGTTTTTTTCACTGTACACTTAAAGGGAGTAATCAGCATTTGTTCTAATTCATGTTTCTTGCATGGCAGTCAAGACTAATTATTTAGGTTTGCCAATACAAGTCAGGTGTATGTATAAAATTCTTAGTAGACATTGATAATATTTATTGATTGGGTTTTATTTTTGGTTGCTGCTTGGGCCACAAGGGGATGCCAGCTGGGATTTTACTAAAATCCAGTAAACTCTGAATGATCACTTTTTCGGTACCCGACTCTAGAATGATTATTTCACAGCCTTGCTGTCTCCTTTCACTGTCTAGGATCCACCCTTGAAGTACAGTCAGAATCTAAACAGTCAACATGCTGCTCATTGTACATCAACATGATATTTTTAAAAGAACGATTTATGGTCGTTGTGCTCCAAATTTTATGTTCACTGTGATAAAAATAGCCCAAACAAGGACAGATAATGGATGATATGGTCCCATAAAATATACATGTACATTACAAGAAGTCTCTTTTTAGTTTTAAGGCATTCCAGAAGCACAATATTTACTGACTGCTCGTTGATGACTTTTGTTCTGTTGACAATGCAGAGTCAAGTTTCTCATAATAAATTGTAAACATACTGTACATGTTATTGTACATGAATTGATATACCGGCTCTGGATTACAAGCTCTCTATTTACGTGAATGGTCGAGGTACAAATTGTAAAATATGAGCATTGTTTAAATTCATATTAGGCACAGGACAATTTGCAAGAAGCATACATGTAGGCTCTGTAGGCGTCTAAAGAATTTATTTGAAGGGGGAGGGGGGGGGGAGGTACCCTTCAGATATTTTTGTGGAGAACTGCTAAAAAATTTGGCACCTCGATGTTCATTGTGATGCCATACAGTATTATGAAAACCTGGTATTATGAAAGGTAGTATGCATGTGTTTCTTGTTTACATTTAAATGAGTAGATTTAAATTATTTTAAATTAGTAGACTAAAGAAGGGTGCCACCCCGACCCCCACCCCCTCCCATGACAGAGCTGACCCTACGCCACTGATTGTACCCATGTGCAACGTGTTGTCCCCTAATGGCATCCTGATGGACGCGGCTTGGGAATGCATCCATTAAGAATCTCTGTTACTAGACAGCCTGAGTCTTTATTAACCTTGGAGCTAACAAGACCGACAGACTACTGACATGCACTTCACCACAAGCTAACAAGCTCTCAGCTCCTTACTCGCATACAGGGGGCCCCCGTCAAATGAGCAAGGGAAATTGCATTTTTTCAAATGTTTTATATACACATCCTTTAACTTTTTATTTTGATATTGACTAGTATTTTACGTTACTCTCTCTCATATCATCGGTCTGCACCCCGAGAAAAAAAATGGGGGGGGGGGGGGCATCACAAAATAGCACAGTACATCTGTACATGAACATATACATTATACACACATACTGTACATAAGGTGCAAGTATTACTCCAATCCATAGTACAAGTAGGCATGCGTGTGAATATTTAAAAAATACAGTTTGCTTTACGTGATGTACTTGCCTAAGGGGCATTTTTGACATTAATCATTTACAGTACTTACCTCATTTAAGAAATTATTTTGAACAAGAATCATATACATTTATCTAATACCCACTGTACATTTTAAATGTAAATAAACGTGTCTATTACAGTACACCCTGTTTATGTAGAGTAGTTCTCTTGACTAATGAGGTCAAGTGTTAATTGATTGTTTTTAGACTGCTTTTTTAGTTGTGGAATTATTCATGACCATTTTCAGGGACCTTCCTATTTTGCGTTACCGGTATTTAATATGCTTAAGTATTTGCCTTGAAGAAACACCCACTTGTCTTTGTTCCTGTGTCTGATAGAGTAAGATGGTTTGTAGCTGCGGCTCTCAGCGGTAGTCACATCTTATTACCCTTCTAATCAGGCATGCTCTTTACACCTTACCTGGCATGCCAAAAGGGGGCCTGTCTCTCGGAGGAGAAGGAAGATGCTTGAGTAGGAAGACGACATGTTTTAAAGCAAGTACAGGAAGGACAAGCAGCGGCATCTTTATTTTTCATTGTTGTCTTCAATGTCGCCATCATCATTATTATCATCATTATTAAATGTCAAAATTATTACTACTACCACCACCACTACAGCCATTATCCTCATCATCATTGTCATCATTATCATCATTATTGTCATTAACATTCATTAGCTTTTGTTTTTGTTTTTGTACAAAACCATCATCATCAACAACATTCATGATCATCATCAATTCATCATCATTAATCATCGTCAGTCATCAACTGCATTGATTCCTGCTCTTTTAGATTTTATTATCAGTTTTGCTATTTCGGCTTCATGATTTAAAGCACCGTCTCTGGTTCTCTGCTTTTTTTCCCATCGACCCTTGAAACTTTCAACAGTCTCAGAATTTCAGAGCGGAGGGTTGTCACTTTGTGTGGCTCTTGAAAGGTCCCTGGTATGTCCGATTTGACATCTCGGTCCAGGTTTGACGGACTGGCCTGTTCGGAGTGTGCTAATCAGCCCTCTTTATAAGCACTCGACTACAAGTAACAACAGTGGCTTGACTTGACTTGAGGGTGGGATTATTCAAGGTGTGGGAAGTACATGTACAAGTTGTGTTTGCATCACTTTTCAGATTTTAGCATGTTATCGAAAGTAGTTTTCTGGAAAAGGTACATTTACATGTACATGTACATACAACTGTAGGTGGACTGCAGATAATTAGAGTGGCTACTGGCTACTGTAGAATCTTTCTGAAATGTAAAAAAAAGATTAGGATTCAATTAAATTAATTAATCTTGCTGAAAACTACACAGCTGCAGCACAGATTTATATGGGACTGCTGTACACTACCATATGACCCAAACATTTTGTCAAAGATTTCAAACCATTTCCAGTCATACATAAAAAAGCATTTCCAAATAAATCAGTTTAATGTGATATTGGTGCAGTGCACCTTATATTTTTCCATGGGAATCAATTAATCTAACACATTTTTTATCTCACATTTACCAGAACCCAGCCTTCTCTTTAACATTGAATCTGAAAATCAGCATGTACATTCGATAGGTAGATTAATGTGCATCAGTTCATCCATGAGCAGTCCCTCCCCCGTCCTTTTTCAAGTTCAGCCATACACCATCGCACCTCTTCCAATTTACCGGAAATATATTCCTAGCACGGCTATTAGACCAATGAAGTGATGTTGAGGCACAGTGGAGCATCGCCGTTAACCCATTGGATTTACAGTGTTTTTCGAACACATGCGTTTTTAATTGAATCCAAATCGTACATCCTCGGGCTCAGTTTTCAACAGGTTTTATAATGATCACATCAGTTTTGTAACTGATGTTTATTGGACTGGAAAAGATACAGAAGTGGCGCCATGTAAACGCATCTGGCAAAAGAGGACAATAACAGGGAATGAAATCTAATGACTAGTGACTAC